CACATAAATTGCCTGCCTTAATTATCAATAACAATAATATAGGTAATTATAAATTCATATGTTCGTACTTCTAAATTAGCCCTTCTAAATTATGCGATTGATTGATTACTCAACTAATCTTACAGTTTGCATCATCCATCTAATATTACACGAATACACTCAATTAAAACAAATACCTTATACGCCTCTAGATACGAGCAATTTTATCGCTTATAAAGTCAACGCCTAAGCTTCTTAAGTCTCGCCCTTCCTACTGACCATAGCAATAACAGTGTCAAGTGCACTGAAAAATGTACTAAATAAGAACAAGTAATTAAGTAATACTAGTTTGTCAAGTGGTCAATACTAGCACTAGTAGCAGGGTAAAGGGTTAGTTGCAGGCTTGCCTGCTGCTGCTATGCCCATATAAACATGCATGTTATTTATTGCTATTGAATGCAAAGAAACCAGCAATGAGGGCAATTCGAATGGTTTCAGAGTGTGCTTCAAATCAAGTACGACCCGTCCGCATGAGAAGACATATAAACTAGTGACTGACTGGCCGAATGATTTTAACCGGCAGGAAGTAAGAAATTCGACTGAAAGCAACAAAAATTACTCCGTGATCGCCTTGAACTGCAATAAGCTGAGGTCGGTTTCGGTCGGGTTTAACAGACTCAGCTCAGATCTTTTCAACGAGGTACTAGTAGTAGTAGTAGCAGTAATAGGTTATTTTGCGAACGGAGTGCCAGCAAGCAATGAAACGAAGGGCACGAACGGATAAATGAAGAAACCATCAACTGATGTGAGGAGGGAGGGACCGAAGCACTAACAGCGGCCAGCGATACACGACGGAAAGAGTCCAGAGCCAAGAATGGAAACTAAACGCTGGCTGCCTGGCAGGCAGTTAGTTAGGTCGGCCAACCAGGCCAGGCCAGGCCCCAGCCGGAGGGCGTGCCGTCGTCGTACCGCAGCAATCAAACCAAACCTAGACCAGTAGTCAGCAAATATAGCTCTTACTTCTTCTTCTTCTACTGCTGCTGCTGTCCACCACCTATCGCCTTCTTGTATCCATCCATCCAACCATCCATCCATCCCTCCGTCCTTCCTTCCATCCAGCATTCATCTACCCATCTAACAATTATTATTCCTACCTAGCACTTAATTCTATCAGTCAATAACAAGACAACAGTCATTACTTACTTACAATATCCTCCATCAGTCATTACTTACAACAGTCATTACTTACTTACAATATCATCCATCCAAATCACTCCAAAACTAAATCCTCCTTCCACCTACGATCCACATGCAATCAAAATATCACAAACCAACAAACCACTCCACTGTACACCTCAAAACAAAACAATACAATCAATCAAATCACCACACCGTACGCACACCAAACCCAAACAGAACTGAATGCCTTTCTGCACACTTTAGTTACAATGAAACAAACCAAAAAATTCGTT